CCTGGTCTCATTTTATAGAATGGAAGACATATTACAGAAATTCAGACAATTTTGATTGGTTTTACAATGAAAAGTACCTTGAAATTGAGCTCAAAGTAGCAGAAATCTTCGATTTTTGCCAAAGTCCAAAAGTAAACAAATCATGCTATGCGTTCAATACACGTCAACTGGCAAGTCTAATATCTTTCACAAGTGCGCTGATATTATTTATATCATTTCTACACTAATGCAGTAGTCTGCATAGCAGTAAATCTACTATTTTTTGTGAGAATAAAAATTCAAAGTGGAAAGCAAAAGAATGTAAAAGGGGCGTGGGGACGTAACTAATGAACAGGAAATGTTATTTTAGTGCCAGGAATGTCTTTCTTTATTCTGGACCCTATTTGGAAAGTGGCATCTTTTGAAATTTGTGTGAAATTGGCAAAATTGCTAAATTCTGACCACTCTATTGGATAGTTGAAATCTGTAAATGGGTGGTTTCTTGTACTCATTCGACAGAAAAAATGGAGTTCTAGCAAAATAGTTATGATTTTTGTTGGCTAGTACACTTGAATTGGCCAAAAATAGGGCTCAAAGTCGGCAAAATCGCCGATGCGTAAACATCGTCGAGACCACTAACTTCGCGAAAGCATAATTCCGTAAGTTTTCCATCAAATGTCATACTTTTGGTGTCATTATGATCAGGAAAAGATTCTATATCTTTTCATAAGAATTTTTTTTTTTTTTTTTTTTTTTTTGAAAATTTGGTGACCCTGAGAACAAGTCTCGGAGAGGGCCTGGCGACCCTGAAAGGGTTAATGTCACCTTTGCATCATTTGTAACATTTTTAATATATTTTTAAATGTTTATACAGTAGTGCACTGTATATTATAATAAACAGAATAGAGAAAATAAGCTCTAATATACATTATTTAGATATACATACTGGTCAGAGAGCCTGTCCTAAGTCTGAGTCGTCGGTGAACGAGTGCGTCACTAAATGAGAAGAGGTTGTGTTGTAATAACTGTATAAATAATAACAGCACATTCATGAACACACATTACACCCACCAGCTGACATGTATTGGACATGTGATGTAATTTGTTTATTCTTGAACACCGGCAAATATCAAACATTTCCCCTACTTTGAGCCCAGTTTCAAGCTATTCTGAGTAATAAAACCAATGAAAATCATCTCTATTTCTGTAACATATCTTGCATTCTATCAAACGTGAACAAGAAACCACAAATACAACCGTAAAAAACATACAAATATATACAGCAAATTTGCAGTTTTAATCCAAAAGCACGGTCGGAGTTTTTTTCTCATTATGCACTGCATGCTGCAGGATTTGTTTTATATGGTGCACACTTACCACAGATGGATTCTCTCATATCTAGGCCCAAGTTTACCACTCACAGCTTATCTGAGTGAGCTGAGCTCATGGTGCAGTATTATGGCTTGGACCCTGACTTCAAAGCCGTAGAACTATGGGACGGACCCTCAAAGGGTTAAAAGTTTATGTACAGTAGTTATATAAAGGTGTGGAATAATGCATGTGTGGATTTCAAATAAGGAACTTATAGAGGGGCCACCTAAATGAAGGCCTGTTAGTGATGCAAAATATCAAAACTTAATACCACACAGTAATACAGTGGTCCCTCGCTTTTCGTAGTTCTCGGCAATCGTAAATTTCGCCAATCATAGGGGTATTTTCATATAAACATGGACTCGCTTTTCATAGGTTGACTCGCGAATAGTAGTTCGTCCGGGACCTGTACGCACGGTGTGAGCCAAGGCGGCCTCCCTACCCAGCCAGTCTGGCATTGTTTACCAGTGGGTGAAGGTCCCCTCAAGTGCTCCTACGAAATATTTCATAATACAGTGGACCCTCAACCAGCGATATTAATCCGTTCCTGAGAGCTCATCGTTAGTCAAAATAATCGTTAGTCAAGTTAATTTTCCCCATAAGAAATAGTGGAAATCAAATTAATCCGTGCAAGACACCCAAAAGTATTGAAAAAAAAAATTTACCACATGAAATATTAATTTTAATACACACAAACTGAAGATTACATGCACAGTTACATGACACTTACCTTCATTGAAGATCTGGTGATGATTGATGGGATGGGAGGAGGGGAGTGTGTTATCTTACTGTTTAGAAGGGGAATCCCCTTCCATTAGCACTTGAGGCAGCAAGTCTTTTTCTGGGGGTTTCTTCCCTTGTTCTTTTAATGCCACTAGGACCACTTGAGAGTCATGGACTTCTGTCGCACAACTATCTTTTCCATAGAGGCCTTTTACCTCTCTTTCCCTTTTTATGACTTTCCTAAAGTGGTTCCCCAAATTGCCCAGTGAAAAGGTTGCCAACACGGTTTAAAAAGTAGCTGTTTTCGGGGTTTGATTATCACCAAAAAAAGCTTTGCATTTTAAAACCCAAACAATGCACAGTTTTCCTTAATCTTAAAAAGTAGGAAAACCTCTTAAAATTTTTTCCCCCCCCTCCTCCGAAGCATTTTTCCTAAAGGTCTTCCCTTTTGCTGTTAAAGGGGGGGAATCTAGCGGGCTAATCAGGGGTTAGTTTTTTCACTGCCCTTTCCACCACCAACTCTTCCACATCCTCCCCACTAACCCCCAACCCCCCAAGGTTTCCCCCAAGGCCACAATGGTTTCCCTCATCTGGCATGGATTCTAAGGGTTGGCCTAAAAACCCTTCAAAATCCCTTTTGTTCCCCTTTTTCTGGCCACAGTTTTTTCAAGCAGATTTTCAAGGGCCCCCTTGCCCACTTCCCCCCAAGCCTTCCCTATAATTTTTAAACAAAATTGAGGATGGAAAAATAAATTTTTCCCAAAAAACTCTTTTAAAGAGCTTTTGGGGTTTTTGGGGGTCACTACAAAGCACCTTTCAAACTTAGCTTTTGTGTACATTTTCTTGAAGTTGGAAAAAACCCTGCTGGTCCAGGGGCCCTGCAGGGAGGGAGTGGAAATTAGGAGGAAAAAAATTCCCTTTTAAATGAAGTCATGCCCCTTTAGAAAGTCGCTCTGCCACATCTGTAGGTAAACCGGGGGCATTGTCTAATACCAGGGGGCCCTTTTAAAGGGGTTCAAAATTTTCTTTTCAATTGGGTTTAAATTTTTCACATCGGGGGGGAAAAATTTTGGGGGGCATGGTGTAACTAGTTTTAGAAAAAGCCCCTAGTGCCCCAAAGGGCCTTTGTTTGCCCTCCAAAAACAAAAAAATTTTAGCCTTGAGGACATTTTTTTTCCTAAACCCACTCTGGGGGTTTCAGAGTGAACACCAATAAAGGCTTCACTTTGCAACCCAACCACTAGCTTTGGCACCATCAACAAAGTAAGCCCGTCTTTATGGGTTTTTTGTCCTGGGAGTGCCTTTTCCTCCTGAGTAATGAGTCCTGCTTGGCATTTTCTTCCCAAAAAAAGGGCCCGGGTTTGTCACAATTAAACACTTGTTCAGGTTTTTAGTCCCCTTTACTGTCTTTTGTACTCCTTGAAGTCCTGCACATATTTTTTTTAGCCCTTTTGTGGTTTCCCAAAATGGCAGCCTCACCATGCCCCTTTTCACCCCTATGAATGCCCCCTAAACTTTTAAAACTCTCAAACCAAACCCTTTTCTGGGCCCCTTTAAATTCACTCACATCGCTAGTTGTGGCATTTTTTTTAAAAAAAAACGTAAAGAAATTCCTGCCTTTTCACATTTTGATCGCTTTAGAGATGGGTGCTCCCTGCTATCTGTTTTTCGGGTTTTTCCACCCAATAAAAAGTCTCTCAAAATCTTCGAGTTTCTGCAAACTCAGGGTTTGAAAAACATGTTGCACCTTTGGGAAAAAAAGTTCCTTGATTCCGTTTTTCTTGCCCACAATTGTGCGATGGTGGGTTGGGGGGTTTTTTATACAAAATGACCGGGTCAAAAGATACCCCAATCCACTTTTAATTTTTTATAAAAGATCTCTTTCTTCATCCCATAGTAAAATTTTCACCCTTTTTGCGTTGGGTTGGCACTAAAGTTTCTTGGGGCCCATGGTGGGCCCTTTTTTTTGCAGGTGCAATCACTAAAAAGGCTGTGAAATATGAAAAGTTCCCGTTTTGGGGTTTTATGTTTGGAAGCGACCCCCAGTTTGGGTGGCTGGCTTTGTTAAAAACTGGCACCCAAAAGGGGAAAAAGAGGCGCGGGTTAGGCCAAAATGGAAAGCGGATGGGACGAACAAAAAACGCTGGTGGGGTTTTTTTTGCGTTTGTCGAGGCAAATTTTTTTCGTTTTTAAAAGAATCGCTAGTCAGATTTTCATTTAAACGATGCAATCGCTAGTTGAGGGGGCCACTGTATTCCACTCTTTTAGTGCTTGAAGTACTATATAAACTACCATGGTCCCCAAGGGAAAGCTCCTGTGGAAAGGCCCGTGGTAAAAAAAAGGTGAGAAAAAATGTACAGTGACAAAGTCTTGGGCAATTTTAGGGAAGGGGTTCAAGAGCGCCAAAACAGCTCTCTCCCACAGCTAAATTTGCGAGACAGGACTTTGAGTGACCAAAATTGGTCCCAGTGGATTAAGGGAAAAAGAGAAAAGAAGCAAACCCCCGAGAAAACAATTGGTACCTGAGGGGGTTTCTGGAAGGGGGTTTCCCCCTTCCCAAAATGTAAACAAAAACCAAACCTCTCCCTCCTCCCGTCTTCCCTACACTAAAAAGGAAACTCCAATTTTAAAAGGGAAGTGTTATGTGTTAATGGTTTTTATTCATCATTTCCCTTGTATTGTTTATGTACTACATGTATATTTCATGTTTAAAATTTTTTTTTGTTTTTAATTTCTTTTGGGTGTGGAGGGGAAAAGGGGGGGTTAATTGTATTTACATTTTTCTTATGGGGAAAAAATTTTTCACAAAAACTTTAAATTTGTTTATGTAGTCCTCCCAGGAACGGAATTTTAAATTTTGAAAAAAAAAAGGGGGCCACTGTATAGTTAAGATATTGTACCAAATATTTTAGTCACCTTAGACATACCTGCTCCACAGCAGTACATGTTTGGCTGGAGATAATGAATCTTGCTGCAATTCTTGTCAGCAATAATATCTCCCTCAGTGGCACGTGTGTCTGCACCAAGAACGACACCATCCTTGAAGACTATGCCAGCAATGGTTGTACCAGTCTTACGAGAGTTTGGCATTGGGAATCCTTTGGCCACCAGATTTTCATTTCTGTGAAATACAACACCATTTAAAATATTACATGTACACAAGAAAGAACATTAATAGCAGCTATTATTAAAAAGTAGCCAATAAATTAAAATACTGTACAACAGTTTTGATGTGGGATTAATACTACTTACAAATATCTTCCATATATTCATGAGTAAGATTCAGTTGATCAGTAGCTGCAAACCTAATACTATCACACACCACCTTATGGAGAGGTGCTGAAAATAAAGAGCTAATAAATTTCCACTCGCAGAGTAACACAGTGGAACTTCGGTACTCGAACTTAATTCATTCCAGAAGGCTGTTCATGTGCCGAACAACTTTTTCCTGACCAATTTTCTTTTGGGTTGGCTGTTATCAATAATCTTCTTGGGCCTGATGGTGACTTATTTACATAAATAAAAAAAAAAAAAACTAAAAATGCGATGAAACACAAAATAGTTTAGAGCAAAGTTACGGTAAGTCGCGTTTGTTTGGTCGAGTGCCGAGCAAATGGTCAACTACTAAGCGATTTTTTTACCGAACAAAGCATGAAAAAAGGTATACAACACTGACAAGATGAAAGTTAAGACACACGTGCAACATCTGATTATCTTTATTATAGACGCTTCGCCATCCGGTGGCTTTATCAATACAGATTCTAGGACATAACTAGAAGAAGTAGAACTATATACAAAAGATGAGGTATCAGTCCCCAGCCTTGGAGTTGGTGTGGAGAGCACCATGGTCGTATACAATACTATCGGTATTGTATACCTTTCTTGCACAACTTGTCAGACACTGCAACATCATGTAATCTTGGTTCTGAGAACATCTACATGACCTACCTCAAGGCCACAACAACTAACCCATCCCTTTGGGTATAAACCTACTTCCACTGGGGAAAACCCCCCCTACCAGGGGACATGCCCTCATTTGCTACATGCCCCCATCCACTCAGCTATAAAAACGCCACCCCCCTTGCCTGTGCTCCGGAATCCTATGACCCCAGGCTCTCCACCCCAAACCCCCCAAGGCTGGGGGAATGATTACCTCTTTTTTTTGTAAATAGATTTACCTTTCTTCTATTTTATGCCCTTTAGAATCGGTATTAAAAAAAAGGGGCCCACGGGATGGTGAAACATCTACAAAAAAGATAACCAAAATTTTTTTGCCCGTGTCTTAAATTTTTTCCCCCAAAGCGTTCAAATCCCAATTTGGGTTCGAGTCCCAAAGGTTCTACTGTAAAAACCCCCAAAAATTTTAAAGTTCCCATTTGTAGGGAAAGGGAACAAAAGGGGAAAAACCCTACGGGTTTTACTTTTTTAGTTAAAAAATAGGCACAATGGTGGCCTTTTATTGTGAAAATTGCTGAACCCAAAAAGGTCACAGGGGGTTCATTTTTTAAGTCTGATAAAAAGGGGTTTTTATTCTCTGTTTTGGAAACTGAAAAACCCAAACGGTTGGCAAAACTTTTCCTCATAAAGCTATCAAAGTGTTAAACATTTTTCTTATTCATCTTGTTGTTGCAACCCGGGGTTTACTAACTTTTCCCAAAATTTTAAAAAATATAAATAAATTCATCATCAAATACAATGAAAATAAATTTCTCCATGTCCCATAAAAAAAATTTTTTAAAACATTCAGGTCCCAGAATTCCCATAAAGTTTTAAAAGGAAACACACAAAAAAAAATTTTTATAATAAATTTTCTCTATATATTGCATATAATAAAATTTTGTAAAGAAAAAGGGTTTAAAACATCATCATTTTTCCCTGCATTCAAGAAGTGCCAAAACGAAAGGAATTCATACACCCCTGCAAAATGGTAGGCAATCAGTTTGATGGGCTGTGCCCATCCCTTCCCAATGAAACAGGGGAATTTAAATCATTATAATAAAAAAAAGAAGTGAAAAACCCCCTGGGGGTTCACAGAGAAACCGAAATGTACAAAGATTTTAAACCCAAGTTGGGCGATGATATAAAAGAACGGGGGGCCTCGTTTTTTATTTCATCCTGTTCTTTTTTTTCACTCAAACCCCAGAGCAGGAAAACTTTGCTCTTTTGAGTTTTTGGGTTTGGGGGTCTATTTCGGGCCTGATTTCAGTAACCACTTCCCATAAGAACGATGAGTACCTGATGACTGATCCCCAAATTGTGTGATTTCCCCAAAGTGAGCTGAATAACATGAGATAAGAGTTCACAAAAAAACCCGGGAGGAAATCTGTCATAAATGTTCGGGAAGGGAGAGCCACAAAAGTACATGTGAGTTTCATTAACACGGGCCCAAAAGGGGCCCCGGGGTTTAAGGTTTGTATAAAAGCGGGGTGTTTTGTATTTATGCTTTTTTAATTTTTTTTCCCCAGCCCCTTAAAATTTAAGCCAGATGAGGGAGAAAAAAAGGTACCTAAAAAGGGAAGTTTTTAGAAAGGGAGGAGAGTGATTTTTTTGTACAGTTAATATTCATGTCCCCTACTATTGTAAGCAAAACCATCTCTATTTAATTTTTAAATTTAAAATAATTCGGTCCATTTTATTCCTACTGTTTACCTGGAGTTTCCCTGGAGGATTTTTGGGGGGTCAACGCCCCCGGGGCCCGGTCGGGCCCCCAAGGCCTCCGGGGATCAACCCTGATAAAACCGGGCCTGTTGCGGGCGGGGCTGGCACAAAAACCCAACATACGAGCCCCCACCCCGGGCGACCCGGGAACGATTTTTTATTTTGCTTGCCCAGTGCCAGCCTTGAAGAACTGCCGGGGGGTTGTTGGTAATCCCCCTTATGTTTGCTGGGAGGCATTTTGAACAGTCTGGGCCCCGGGACACTTATTGATGGCTCTTAACGGGCTAGTGACACCCCTTCCCTTTTCCCTTTGGGGGGGTTTGGTGCTCGTTTTTGCCAAGCCCTTTTGTTTTCCCGTAGTGGGTGTTTTTCCCGGTAAAAATTTTCCTTTTTCAAATTCCCCTCTAGGTTTTTCCCCGGTGTATATAACATGAATCTTCCCTCCCCGTTCCGGGGAAAAACAGGTTTAGGAACCTCAAGCGCCCCAAAAATTTTAGGTGTTTTATCTCCGTTTGCGCGCCTTTAAAAGGGTTCTCTGAAAACTTTTTCTAGGTCGGAAATTTCACCTCCCTTAAAAAGGTGCGTTGGTTGTCAGCAATTTTTCCCAGCCTAAAAAAGAACAAGTGCCCTGAAGAGGGTCACATGGGCTTGGCCCCCCCTAGTTTTGAAGGTTCTAAATTATCCATCCTGTCATTTTTCTAGCAGATGCGTTTGATACAATGTTAGGGGCCCTTTGGGAAGGTGAGATCCCCCGACATAAAATCACTCCCGGGTCTTTGACGTTGGTGTTTCGCTCATTTTGTGGCCAGAATTTTTTTTTTGTACCCGATGAAGATTTAATTTCCCTTTTGTTTTTCCCTAAACTGAGTAATTGAAAATTTTTCATCGTTGAACTTCATATTGTTTTCTGCAGCCCACTGAAAAATTTGGGTTTAAAGTCTGGGCCCGGGGGCTTTTCAGTGGGCTTCAATGGAAGGGCCCTGTAATTTCAGATTCGGGTTGGGCATCTGCAAAGGAAGACACGGGGTGTGGCGACACCTTGTCTAAAGTCGGATATAAGGATGAGGGAAAAAGATGGGAGCGGTACTGTCCTTTTGGGGGAAAAGAGCTTTTCACCGAACGCCTCGGGCTTTTCTTTTGTTTACGAAACTTTTCTGTGTTTTTGTTAGTGAGGGGAAATTAAAAGAAACCATGCCCCACTTTTCCCTTTTTTTCCCCTTTTGCACCATTTTTTTCGCTTTTTACGGGCCCGGTCACAAATTGTCGAAGGCCCTTTTTCCCAAAATCTGTATAATTACATTTTGCATTCTTTTTGTCTTCCCAAGGTTTCATTTAGGGCCTTGTCGTAGTGATCCAATATTAGACAGACAGGGGGCGACCTGTTTCCCAAACCCATGTTTCCCCCGGGTTGTGGGAACTTTATGGGGGTTTTAGATGGGTTTGGGGATTTTTGCTTCTTAGGACCCTTTTTAAAGATTTTTTATGATATGGGAGTTTTGTGTAAATTTGGTTTTGTAGTTCTTTGCTGTTGCTTTAAATGCCCCCTTTGGGGGAGGGGGCTATGTCCCGTTGTTTTTTGTAACTGTGGGAAGAACCCCCCTGTCCAATTTCCCCTCTCCATAGGATAAAAGGCCCCGTGATTGGGGGCTTCTTGCAGTTTTTGATGAACACAAAAGTTCCAGAGTCCCCCGGGCCCCGGGGAAAATGGCATGGGCATTTATTTTTCGCCTGTTCGAAGTCATTTGGTCAGGGGTAACATGGATAGGCTTTGGTTAATCCCAAATTTTTTTGGCCCCCCTCTCATTAAAAAAATTTATTTGAAACTTCGCCCCCTCAGTCTGGTTAGGGGGCTTGGGTTTAAAAACTGAGTCATATTGGGGGGGTTGGGTACTCACTTTTTTTAAAATGTAAATAATTTTTTTCAGTTTTTTATTTAGCTGTTTTTAAAATTTTTAAAGGGTTTTAATCACGAACCCCCTATCAATTGGATCTTACTGCTTGGTTTTTTAAAAAATAAGATAAAAACAAGGGAAACCCCAAAGAAAATTTAAATTACTGTTTTTTTTTTTTTTTTTCCTTGTGGGGGGAAAAATTTTTCACACTCACTATTAAAGATAATTGTTTCTTATGTTTTAAACCCGTACCAAAAAAAACTTACTAAGGGAAACACTAGACGTGTAAAATAAAATTGTGCTTGGAATTTTTTAAACCCGGAAGGGGGTTTGGCCCCCAAGGAAAAAAATAATCCAATAAATTTCCCGGGGTCAATAAAGTCGTACATAAAGTCAAATTGGGGTTCCCTCGAGGGTCCTTTTTCTGGGCCCTCAGTGTAGAAACCTTTTGGGAAAGAGACGAATTTGGGTTTGATCCAACGAAAATTTAATTTCAAATTCCGTGGATCAAGGCCCTTTAAACCCACATCCAGGCACCTCCCAAGGAACATATTGTCAAATTTTAAAAAAAAAAAAAACAGGGCCCAGTAGTTTATTTAATAA